GAATCCGATATCAGAAATGAGTTATGAGTTATTAATTATTATTAGTTAATAAATCAGTTATCGAAAAATGAATGAAAAAATGAATGAAACGCTGGGCGTCCGTGGTTTTCCACGGGTTATTTCTAGTTTTTCATATTTAAATTTGAGATCAAACATCCTTGTCCATTTTTGTAAAGAATTGAACAGGAAATCTTTTGAAAAAAAGTTCAAGTGTAAGCAATGAAAAATAAAAGAGATATTGACGAAATACTAAGACCGCCATTTAATCTGGATCACTCGATATAAGGCAGAAATAGTTTGACAAATATTCTAGAAAGGAGGGATCCGCATAAGACTGATAATAATCGGCTTGAAACTCTCGGTGTATGGTCAGAGGAGTAAATTGAACAGTTAGAATACCAAAACAACTGTAAAAAAATATATTCTCTTACGATGGATTTCTAGAAAACCTCTAAAAGTCAGCGTTCCTTCTGTGAAGCAAAAATGTGAAAAGTTCCAAGTGAACTTCGTGCACCTAATAAGAATATATATAATTGTAGACACAAAATTAAGATGTTGTAAACCCCTTAAACCTAATTTAAGATGTTGTAAACCAAATGGGATTTTAAACTGTCTCAACTCGTACCTAAACTTTATACTTCAAACTTCCATTTCCTTCGGAAATCGGACATGTCCGTGGAAGTTCTCACAAAATCTCAGTAATATGAAAATAAATGTTTTTAGTTTTCTAACTCTATCGGCATGTAAATCAAGGAAATGGGAGTATTTTCTGAAAGTTCCAAGAGATTTGATTCGATTTTGAGTGAGATTGGAGTATTTTATTTTGTATACTTATAGCTAAATTGGTGGATTTTCCTGAAAATTCAGTTTCATTTGGTTTTTCCGACAAGCTTTAAAATGATATATGACACAAAATGTACTTATTTCTTTACTAGTGTAGGAAATAGTAAAAACTGGAAGTATGTCGCATTTTTCTCCGGTCGGTTTACTTCTGGTCCATTTTTTAGGACTGATGCCACCGATCTTGAAATTCTAAACTTGCCAGTTTGTAGCAAATTTCATGAGCTCCAAAATGATATATAACAGAAAAATGTATGTGCCCTTGTTTGGAAGAAAAAAGGGCCACAACAGCGAGGACTATCTACTATATTGTATACGTAGGATTATTCTAAGCGCCCTACTACTATCAAAGCACTACTGTTAACCGTTATGTTACACACATTCTGCAAAGAATTTTAAGGCTATCCAATGGTATATTTACTTTGTCGCCTACGTGAAAGAAACACGAGAATAACACCTTTTGAGGGATGAACCATTGGCGTCCTATTGATGACGGATTACTCGGAGTTTAGTCACCAAAAGTACGCGAAATGACTCAAAACCGACTGAAAATACTTTTGTACTATTCACAGAATCATTTTTAGACTAAAAATAAAAGTGGGTCGATTTTCAGCCTTATGCGGACTCTTCCTTTGCACTTTCAAGGGAATATTATTATTTTTTATCATTGAGTCGGATAGGTAAATTAGATTTATCCACAATTTGAAGTTTAGAATAAAATTTGCAAACAATTACACATTAAAACTATTGCTTTCAATACGTTGTAAATTAACTTTGACGGTTAAAATGGTTATTGTTCACTTTTTTTCTCCAGGACAGATTGGTTTGTTATAACAAACGGAATGAAACATTAACGTAGGAGAAAATAAAGAGTGAGATCAAACACCTTTCGATGATTTTATAACTTTACAACGTTTCACACAATTAAAAGTCAATCGAAAAGATCATGTGAATACTATTCTGTATCAAAAACAGACTGATGGAAGAAAAAACATCGTCAAAAATGAAGGGTACTCTTCATTCTCAATTTTAATTCGTATTAAAGTTCCTGTTTTATAGACAATCGTAAGATGTTTTAGTCAATCTCAACTATCTATTATCATCAAGTTTTATTTCAAAAATTAAAATTATGGCATAATGTAAGCAACAATTTATATCTTAAGCTTTTACACTGTAATATTGAAGAGTAAGGAATTCTTCTTAACACATCACCTTTTTTCATTCGTTTGTAGCTTTTATATTTAAATTGTAAAACGTTTTCATAACACCATATAAAACTTTAAAAATTATTGTACTTTCTCTCATTGGACTGTATGAAAAGGCCCCCCCTCCCTCTATTTCATATTAGCTAGTCATGAGTGACTAATAAAAATGTTTATATACTTTGTGTTTTTAAGGATCTCTCTACATATCGTGATTTAATTTGTTTGTAAAAAAACTAGAAGTTAAGATTTTTTTATGTGAACAGTTTATAACCACTATAAACTTTCTATATCTAAAGGATAAAGAAATCCATACCACTTAGGTATTAAAAGTATATACATAGACAATTTTATCAGGATAAAAAACAAACGATAATTATTTTTTTTTATTTATTTTATTTTTAGCTCTAGTCAAAATGGTCTCTATGATGATAAAAATTATGATTTTTTTCTATCTTCATTCCTTTCTTTTTCTCTCCGTTTTTATTTCAGTTTTTCTTTCTCTTCCGCCTTATATTGTGTACTTTGATTTCTGGTCTTTTTCACACACACACATATATACATTAAATATTACACAAATCTAAAATTTAGAGTATACTCATTCTATATATGTATAAAACTGTGTATACTTGGATTGTTAGACTTGATGTAATAGTGATTTTTTTTCTCTTATTCTTTTATTTATTTAATTATTATTTGTAAAGTACTAAGATATATATATTATGCTCATAAATCTAATTTCGTTTAAAGTGAATGCAATAAAACAAAGTAAGAGAAAAGGACACTAATACATGGGGTAGGATAACACAGCCGTTATTAGGTAATTCATATAAACTGAAACGATTAATTAGAGATAGATAGATAGATAGATAGATGGATAGAAATATTGTATATCCGCTAAAATGTGTTAATCAACAATAGTAAAAATAAACAATTTATTCAGCAAGGATAAACAAATGAAGGGAAGAAAGAATCTGTGAAGGTTTAGTCAGTTATTCTTATAATATCATGTATTATGTTTACGCCAATCACTTCGTCTACAATGCGTATGTACACATAATTTTCTTCGTTCATTATGATAAAAGACAAACATAAGATAATCAGAAAAAGGACACTATTACATTTTCTACAATTCAATTAATTATTAACGTATAGAAATTCATACTAAATTTTTATTTTAATATTTAATGAGTGCTCAATAAGAGAATAAAAATATTCTAAAAGTTTTCTTTTCAGATATATATGTATTCTAATATTTGGCTAAAATCAATGAATGGATTTTCAACAAATTGTTGACTATGCAAAAAGGTTTACTGGATCAAAACGTTCTGAAAATAATTTTGATGACTTATTAATCGATCGTTTACACAATCGATATACGGTTGCAGTATTAGTCTGTTTTTGTGTGGCTTTATCTTCATATCAATATATAGGTAAATAGTGATCGATATTTCATATTAATGGGACTTTTCAGGATAGATAGTGATATATATATATATATATATGTTCATGAAATCTCTTTGGATTAAGAAGATTTCCGACGAAAGAATGAATGTAGTTGTTAATAGATATTTCTCTGTGGTAATGATAGCGATTTAGTGGGGTAATTAATTGTTTTCTCTAGGTGATCCATTACAATGTTGGGTTCCGGCACAATTTACTGGAAATTATGAAACTTATACGAATCGTTTATGTTATATTCAAAATACCTACCATGTATCAAAACATCATGAATTGCCAACTGAATATAATCTTAGACGTGAAAGAACATTAAAATATTATCAATGGATTAATTTTGTATTATTATTACAAGCACTATTTTTCAGTATTCCACGAATATTATGGCAATCATTTAACGATAAAATTGGTTTATCATTAAGAAATTTAGTAGATGCATCAAATAAATATGAATTACTTGATGTTGATGAAGAACGTGGAGCAGGTAATTTTATCAATTAAAATTTTTATGAAAAAATAGAAGTATGATTTGACCTATCTTATTGAACTTTTTTGATATTTTAGTTGTTCATTATATATCGGATACATTACGACGTTATCAAGAATATGTCGAACCCATGAATGATGATTTAAAATTAATTCATCGATTTTATCGTAAAATTCGTATATTTTTTCAAGCTCGTACTGGCTCCTCATTAGTTTATTTTTATTTTTTTATTAAAATTTTGTACATAGTCAATCTTCTATTTCAAATATATTTTTTACAATATTTTCTCAGTTATTATGACGTTAAATATATTCATTATGGTTTAGTTGTATTTGAAGCATTATTAACAGGTAATCCTTTGCCAGAAACAAAATTATTTCCTCGTATAACATTGTGCGATTTCAATATTCGTGAATTAGGTGAAATACATCATTATACTGTCGAATGTATTCTTGTTATTAATATATTTATTGAAAAATTGTATATTCTTTTATGGTTTTGGTTTTGGATATTGTTAGTGGTAACATTGATCCATTTTATCATCTGGTTCTATCGAGTATTTATATTTCATTTAAGAAAAACATTTATTAAAGAACATTTAGAATTAGTATTAAAAAATCGTCGAGTAAATGACAACGAATTTAGAAATTTCGTATGTAAATTTTCAATAGATAATTTATTTGCCTTGAGAGTTATGGCACATAATTCAAATACAATTGTTGTTGCCGAAGTTCTAGATGATATGTATCGTCAGGCATTTTTAATAAGCTCTGATGTGTAGTTTAGAGAGAGAGAAAGAGAATATTTTACATTTTTTTCTATACGATAGTTTGTCTTTTTATTCATAATTTCGATTCTTCCACAAAGCAAAAACTATTAAGTGCAATGATAGCTCTCATCGAATGCTTTTTATTTCATCGCGAAATGGATAACTATTTTAAACTATGAATAAGAGTAAATCAAATACAGTGATTATCAGAGATTTTACTAACCATATGTCATTATCCGATATCTAGCGATCTCACGTGTATTAATGCCCTTGGATTTCTATTTTCTAAAAATAAATTTAAAAGTAGGCGAAAAAATGAGATTTAGACGATTTTTACAATGTGACGCATGTGTCGCAAACGCATCCCTGTGTCGTAGATTGTATCATCGTTTGCAACACATGTGACACATTATTTTTTAGATTGTAATTAATTTTTTTCTGTAAAAATTAAAATTTGAGTTTTTGGATAAAAATGTCATCTTCAAAAATCTATAAATCCGACACAGCTTACATTAAACATATCACCGGAAAAAAAATAAAGTTGATTTAGAGTTGCTGAAAAGTGGTTTTTCGTATTCAGCACACTCGATAACCCAGAAGATTTTCTGTTTTTGACCCGAGGTACTTCCGAAAGTTTAGGAAAAGTTTTCAAATTAATATTATTTTTCCATGGAAAACTTTTTTCGCCATTTTGTTTCAAAATTTTTCTTAAACTTTCGGAAGTACCCCGAGCCTGAGCCAAAAATAGAAAATCTTCTGGATTATCGAGTGTGCTGAAACGAAAAAAATCACTTTTCAGCAACTGTAAACGAACTTTATTTGTTTTGTTCCGGTGATATGTCTCGAAAACATTAGTGACCAAAGTGTCACAATCATAGATTTTGCAATGAACATGGTCAATGACAATATACTTCTTGAACTATATGATAAACGAACAAAAGCAGGGGCCCCTGTTCATTGATTTCGGCCCACTGCTTTTTCGACTTAGTTACGCTCACATATTGTAGAGAAAGCGATTTTACACATTTTGAACTGCATATCACCCATTATAACCTAATGGAGACTTTTTAAAATAACTTTTCTGAGGAGGTACATAAAGCATATCGGTGTTTAAAAAACGGTTTTGCTCAAAATCTAGTATAAAGTTATGGTAAAGCTTGATGTAGAAAAATAGCTCTTGAAAAACTCTACAATATTCTGACTAAACAAACCCTACGTATCATTGGCTCAATCCTTTATAGGTCAAATATGAGCCCAAGGACACGTAAAAGTCAACACAATTGATATTTTAGCCAATTTACTCCCATAGGTAAGAGAGGATCCAAATAGTTTTTAGTATTAGAAAATAGCTCTTGAAAAGCTCTACAATATCTGTTAATAGGAAGCTTAGCGAAGCCTGGCAGTAGGTTTTATAAGTTTAATAGTAGACTTTCCATGGATCGTGGCTATGCCAAGGGAGCTCTTGATCGCTTTTCTCTATGAAACTAAAGAGGATCTCTAATAATTCCTGCATCATTCGATGCGCCTTGAGAAGCTCGTCAACATGTGTTAATAGGAAACTTAATGAAGCTTGACAGCGGCTTTTGTGTATTAAATACTTCACCACTTAATAGAATAAATTTGGAAAAAGATTTGAATACCTGGAAGAATTTCTGATCTTAGGTGATGTTTACAGACGTTTCATCAAAACTCCTGAAATAGGGGTCTCTGAAAAAACGAAATCTCAGAAAACCAGATCCCGGACTTCAATCTAGAAATCTTTTGAAAATATGTCTGTCATGTAGAGCAAACATTTCTGAAGAAAACGAGACGTCTCCCTGCTCTGTACGACATTTACTCATGGAGCAACATTCAATTTATAGAAGGCCCTGAGGGCGTATTTTCATGTTTTCTCGTTAGTTTTGCTTCTATGGTCACATTGTAAAAATCGTCAATTGATGGGAATTTAATTTAACATCTTAGCTATATAAAGCAAGACACTTAGATAAGACACTGCCTGAAACACATGCAAGAAAATAAATGTTACCGATATTTCTCTTCGTATCAAGCTTCGTGCATCAAAGCACATAAGCAATGTATAAATGACGTTCCATACTCACAGCTATCCAGTTCGATCACTCAACAATCTAAATCAACTCCAAAGCTGGTCAAATTCAACAATGTAGATGGCTTAAACGGAATCACTTTCAATGGTACCACCATGACAATCCGTGAACCAGGTGTGTACTTTGGAATATCTGCCGGTCAGACGGGAAGCCCGAACGAAAAAGGATTGGGTGATGTCCATATGTGGGCTCGGATAAATGGTCAAGATATCCCAAACACCAATGCTATTCAGACGATCAATGGTGACGGGACAACCGTTTTAATAAATCAGGGTATCTTGGAAGCCAACGTTGACGATCAGCTGGAGATTCTGTTCTCAGCCACAATTGCGAAGGAAAACTTGGGTCTCGTTGTTACGGCCCCGCATGGTGGGTCTCTGGTACCAAGTGTCATTCAAACTATTGTTCGCGTGAACGCTCCATATGCGTCGCTATCCAGCTCGGTGGTTTAACTCCACGAGTCGTCGCATTGGGAAATAAGGATAACGTAAAACAAATCGGTAGCAGTAGAGGAGGTACCATTACTTATCACGAATCGGGGCTTTGCTTTGTAATAGCCTTTGCTCAGGTTGCAAGCGCCGATAGCACCAGCACCGGTGAAGTCCACTTACGGATGCGACTTAACGGGGAAGATATCGCTAACAGTAACACAATCCAAACTGTTATTACTGGCGAAACCGGAGTTCTTGTCAGTCAGACAGTCATTAAGCTCCAAAGCGGCGACAAAATTCAGTTGATATTCTCAGCCTCGAAAGAGCAATTAGGACTGATTCCAGCCACTTTCCGAAACGAGCCAGCTGCACCTAGTATGATATTGTCCACCTTCCAGGTAGGCAGCAGTATCCATTCCGAATCCTATGCACAGTTATCCAGTTCAAAAACTCAAGTGGCTAGTTCAAGACCCCAGGTAGTTATACTCGATAAAGATGGCGGTCTTGAGCATGTAAAATACAGCAGACACAACATCATCACATTCAAGAAGTCGGGCACGTACTTCGTAGTCGCAGCTGCTCAGGTCGGAAGCTCTGATGGAAACGGCATCGATGAAGTCCACTTATGGCTTCGTCAGAACGGCAAAGATGTCGACAACTCGAACACGATTCAATCCGTGAATACTGCGATATTAGTCACTCAGCCGGTCATGATATTGAAAGGCAACGACCAGCTCGAAGTGGTTTTCTCAGCTGATTGTAGCACAGGCACTTTGGGATTGATTGCTAGTAGCAGTGAAGGAGAAAAAAATATGCTGTTTTCCGTATTGCTTTCACAAGACGTTCGAAGTAATGAAAACGTTTTATGGATAAAGTTTTGCACATGTCAGCATGCGTCGCTGACGGGATGATATGATAGATGAAATAGGAGAATATGCGCATCTCTATTCGAGTGGTCCACACTATCATTCCTTCATACATTGCAAAAGAGTGTCGTCGTCAGACACAGGTCTCATTGTATCTCTCAACTATACATCGGCGCAAATCAATCGTTACTTTACACCTATCGTGCTTCTTTTCGGTGTTGTGGATAATATTCTCAATTTTCTTGTTTTATCACAAAGATCTCTTCGTTAAATCCATGCGCTTCACTCTTCCTTTCGTCATCAATTGCTAATCTCATTTGTATTATTTCTGATCTCACTTCTTGATTGATGTCTGATTAAGATTAGGGGTGGGATAGTTCCAGTTCCTATAGTTCTTAAGAACCGGTCGAAAGAACTGGTCACCAATTCAGTTCCTTTTGAACGGAAACTGGTTATTAGTTCTTTTCAAGAATTCAAAGTAAAATAAAATCGCTATAGCTAGTTATATTGACTTGGCTTAGTCAACTGAACGCACCATCTACCTCTGGCGCACTAGAAAAAGTCCATGTAACTAGGTTCACGGGTTTTATTTTATTTTTTATTTTTGAAAAGAACTGGTACCAGTTCCCAATCAAAAGAACTGAACTGGAATTGTTCCATGCCTAGTTGAGATGCTGATTTGACAGAAACGGTTGGATGGCTTTGTAAACTTCTTAGTTCTGTTCAATGTGTCTCACGAACAACCGTCCTTTTGGCTCATCATGTTGGCCACTGTCGATCGATGGCTTTCATCCTGCACCAATGTTCATTGTCGACATATGAGTATACTAAGGAACTCTCGACGAGGCATGATCATTATTTTTCTTCTGTCGATTGTATTGTGTGCTCAAAGTTTGTATAAACCCAATCTCATCGATATTCCACTCAAATGTTATGGCGAAACGGGAGCATGTCGTCACTTGACTGATGTGAAATATCAAAACCGATACCGGCATCATCGGCTCCATCATTGATACCGGTACCGGTCACGGGTATACAAACTTCGTACCGGTACCGGCTTGTCTTGATCATATTTTGCCTAGATACAAATACTTTTCCTTGTTTTTCTTCATTGTAAACTGTATCTTATGTTATCAAAGGGATAGATTAAAAATTAAATCTTTTCACTTTGACTATATATATGTTGTGGCCAAACTTAGAATTCGGCCAGATTCGGAATTTGGCCGGCCAAAACTGGAATTCTGCTTTTGGCCGGCCAAACTTAGAATTGAGATGCCTACACATGGAAAATTCCGAATTTG